AGACTCAGATCATGCTCTAGTGCGAGCGCGTATTTGTCTGCGTCTTACTGGACGTAGGAAAGATGGTGCAAGGAAACACCTTAGGGTCCTACCTAATGATAGTCAAGCTAAGAGTATATTTCAGGAACAACTAGAAAAACAGTTAGGCAGCTATGTAACTGATGCCCACTCCGAGGCAAAGCGGAATGACATCCGAAAAGCTGAAGAAACAGCAGTGATGTCTGCAAGTACGGTAAACCACAAGGTTAGGGAGAAACACTGGATCTCAGCAGCATCTACCGCACTGATAGATGCTCGAAAACTTATTCCATCTGGCTCTGAACATAACGAAGAGCGGAGTCAGTTTAAGCGTAAGCTGACTAGAAGCCTTCGTAATGATCGTGAACAGTGGTGGGTAGTGAAAGCAAGAGAGATGGAAAAGACAGAGGCAATAAGTAACAGCAGACAACTGTTCAGACTTGTTAAGGAAACCCGTATTAGGAACCCAACTGTTAGCGAAACAATCTCAGAGAAAGATGGACATATTATTCATTCTCAATCCAGGAGATTGGATCGATGGGCAGAACACTTTAGGGATCAGTTCAACTGGCCTTCAGCCACACTTCGGTTTCCCACGATCCCCAGTCGACCTGAATGGCAAGTTGATGTAAGTCCTCCGACTCTTTACGAAGTTGAAAAAGCTATAGGAAATCTGAAGCGTGGGAGAGCAGCAGGCCCTGACAGGTTTACCCCTAAGATTTTTAAGGATGGCGGTCCAGTATTAGCAGCGAGATTGACTGAGGTCTTAGGTAGAATCTGGGAACTGGACGTAATCCCATCTAACTGGTCACAATCACTGAATGTGCCAGTCTATAAGAAAGTACAAAAGTCCTCCTGTGACAATAACAGAGGAATTAGTTTGACTAATATAGTGTCTAAAATATTAGCTTCAATAATACTTCGACGTCTAACCAAAGCTTTGTCACTGAAAGGAGTAACAAAGAAGTACATCAACCTTATAAAGGCTCTCTACTTGAACACAACTGGTCGAGTGAGAGCTTGTGGCGAACTGTCATCAGAATTGATTATCTCAAGTGGTGTTCGTCAGGGCTGTCCACTCTCTCCATTCTTGTTGACGTCCTTTTAGAGATGACACTTTCCTCAACTAAATTTCCAGAAGTTGAACTTCTACCGGGAGATTCACTTGTTGACTTAGAATATGCCGATGACATAGTTCTATTTGGTGAAGACGCTAACAAAATGCAGAGTCTGCTGACCACTCTAGGCAACAATGCAAGCATGTTCGGCTTGTGATTTTCTCCCCGAAATGCAGAATGTTGCTTCAGGATTGGGTTGCACCGCCACCCGAACTAGTGATAAGGAGTGAAGTAGTTGAGCGTGTCGACCGCTTCACATGTCTGTAAAGTCTCATCAGCCCTTGTGGTTTGGTGTGTGACGAAATCTCAGTACGGATACAAAAGGCTCGACTAGCTTTTGCCAACTTGCTTCATTTGTGGCGTAGGCGAGATATCCGTCTATCAACCAAAGGACGAGTTTACTGCGCAGCAGTTCGTTCCGTCCTACTTCATGGCAGTGAAACATGGCCAGTAAGAGCAGAGGATATTCGTAGGTTACTAGTATTTGATCATAGGTGTCTTCGAAACATTGCTCGTATATTCTGGGACCACCGAGTAAGTAACTCAGTGGTTAGGAAACGGGTACTCGATAAGGATGGCAAATCAATTGACGAAGTAGTGAAATTTAATCAGTTGAGATGGCTGGGACATGTGTTGCGCATGCCAGATCACCGACTGCCACGACGTGCAGTGTTTTATGGTGTGGGAGAAAGCTAAGGGCGGCCAGACCGAAACATGGAACAAATCCATAAAGTCACTGACAAGTGGACTGAGCCGTGTTGGTAGGTGTAGACTAATTGGTTGGGGACCGCGAGGTGATATCAACCGATGGTAAGAGACCTTGAATGACACGGCTCAAAATCGTTTGCAATGGCGCAGGTGCATCCACTCTCTGTGTTCTCTCAAACTCTAATCTTCTGAATTCTCCATGTCCTTTATTTTCTTTCCAAATATATTCCACTGGACTATACTCCTTAAATAACATCATCAAACCTTAACGTTCCCTGTCACTACTTATACTTTCAGTACTCTGTCACTACGGGATTTAAATCGATAACTGAATCTCTGTGCTAATGTGGTATAGCAACTCGAACTGATGTACGTACGCATGAAGTTACACGTTGTTTCTGACTGACTTATTTGTTTTCTGAAAACTTGATACAATAAAATCACTGTATTTCTAGAACTTCAAAGTAGAAACCACTACCACCAAGTACGGTTAGTAAAATTCAACAAAAATAGAATACCTTCTAGTTTTTTAAACAAAATAATACCATAACATAATTTAAAAAGTGTAATTGCTGACAAACATTATCACAGCTGAACAGGATCCACTGACTAGAATGAGAATTCAACTTCAGCAAAAAGCATTCGTCACACTTAGCACCCCTGACCGTGGATGTGCACCTTTGAGCCCTACACTAAGATGAGACAACTGTCCAGGGTCTCCCGGCCTTCAGTTGCTGTTTAAATACTAGTTTACGATGCAACCTAAGAAACATTAACAATCAACACAAATAGTAAACATCTTATTAGTGTTTCATATTACTAAGGAAAATGACTCAATTAGAAGATAATGGTATTATGTACAATTGGATATGTGAGAAAAAGTTAATCGATCAGTGTTTATACATAATTTAATAAGCATTTGGTTTACGTACTTTTAAGATATAATCAATCAGGTGTAATTACTTACAGGGGACTACTGTTGAGATAAAAAAGACGGATTTCACAAAGTATAATTTTCATTACATAGTGAGTACATATTCCATTTCGTTTAGATTTTCTTTAGAAACTCAAGGATCATGATCTACAGGAATTAGCGTCGTGCTGTATTGCAAGTAATATTTACTGATCAATCCATTGATGAAAGGCGAATTCTTTTTTTCGGGAAAACAGATCTACAGTACGATTGATATTAATTTAAATTTACATTTTGGAAGTTTATTATCATGTCACTTTTTTATGTGCAATCCTTAACACCAAGTGTTTAGTGTTAAAAAGCAAATGAAATGTCAAATTTCTAATACAGATGCAGGTAATCAGTAACATATATGGTACTTATCTTTAAACTTGATAACTTTTGAGTGTAATGCAAAGAAATTAACGTATTGATCATCGGAAGTAATTAAAAACAAAAATCTCTTCATTTAACTTGTATTTTCAATGATTATTAGAATAATCCATTACTTGATATATACGTTATTAATAAAACTTAGGAATAACGTCATCATTAATTATTTTCTATAAAAAAAATAGTAAGGACAGCAAAGGTAGATTTACTTTGACAAACCAAACCTCATTTGAATATAGTATTGAATATTCAGTGAAAAAATTAGAACGATCGAGTAATGTATGTGCATGCAACCTCTCCTTAATGAGGAAATTCTCCACAGAATAATGGAGTTTATATTTACACGTTAGCAGTTATGAAAGCGATTATTCTTGTGTCAGATCTTGAATCTTTAGGGAACCAGTTGATACAATGACTTTAAACAATAGACGAACAGAGAGTAATACTACTCAACTTATAAATAAGCAAAATATCTATGTTGAGCAGATACTTTATTTCATTATGTAAATACATATGTAATGACAGACTTTATGAACTCTTGAAATAGTAACGGTAAGAACTCAATGATCAGTGGAAGTGTAAGATTTTGATAAATTAAACATGTAAGAGTATACGATAAATTATGGGAGGCGGGTAATCGGGTTTACAAAAGCTAACAATAACACTGAAGAGGAATTTCAAGTAACTTACTTTTGGAATAAAATCTAACTCAAATTCACTTTAAAGCAGTCTTTTAACTGACATTTTCCTAAAAATATCTACGCTGACTACATTGAAGAGGGAAATATCTAACTACTGCATGCATAAAAATAGCATTACAAAGAGAAAATGATTGTTCTCAATATCGATAATATTTACGAGTAGTTTGTACACAAAATATACACATTGAGAAATGGTAATTTCATCAAGAAAAGAAGAGAGCATAGAGATACTATTATTCAGTTACAGAATAAAATTAAATAACGAAGTCAAACTGAACAGGTCGGAATAGTAATAGTAATAAAATATCAACCGATAAATAAGAAATATCACTACTGATAGTCAATAAGAATCAAGATTATATCAGTAAAAAAAATAATTTGCGACGCGGGTTTACAAGTAAGGTTTGGCAATGAGTCTTTTTCACAATCCGACATTATCTTGTCTCCAGCTGAAATGGTATATATATACGAATATAACACTATGTTTTTCGTGATACTGGAGGTACCTGTGAAAAGGAAATTCATGAAGTATACAAAGATTTAGAAAAATTTATGTATAATATTTGACAGTCATAGCAATTGAGAGAAACGAGACCGATAGAGAATGGCTGGTGCACGAAAATGTGGGAAGATTGAGATAAGTTTATACAGTGAATCGACTGGAAATTCCCGTCACTTTCTTCAAATACTTCATATAATGAGCTAAAATCTGTTCTCAGTAAGCATAATCAATAATGTCATTAATACTATGATATAATACACCATCTTGATCATACACTAACATTCCGGGTTTATACTCTTGGCCATGAAGTACAGTTTACGTGTGATGTTATGCAAAAACCTTTTAAAAGTACAACCTTAGAAATCTAGTAATTAGTAAACAAAGTTACAGTTTACATTTCACAATACATAGTCAATTCTCTCTTTCATGATAATGATTCATTACTGATAAACTTTTCATGGTCTAATTAACGAATTAATTAGCAAGTCGATGGATTGTATACCCCAACCACTTATGCATAGGTATAAAATAATGTTAAAGATTACTAAACATTATCCCATCTTGATAAACGCACTAGGAAACTATATTTTGTCAATATCTTAGCTTATCTAAATGACATCAGCATCGAAATCCAAAATGGATGATATTAGAAAGCGAAATGTCATAAAATAACGTACACACATAACATACATTGCATTGAACTAAAATATTTACGATAAGTACTTCATGGAAAACCGGGAGAAACATACTTTAAAATAAACATGTACAGAAATAATTTTACCTTAGGTATCACTGAACTCTCATTCTCTTTTGTAAGTGTATTTGTAGTTTCTGTACTATTGGATTGTGTAGTCGTAGAGTCGGTGGTTTGTTCAGATGAAACAAGTTCATCACTTGGGCTGATTGAACTCAACTCAATTTCGTCTGTGATTGCTCTTGTGCTGAAAATCTCATCACCACTAGTGTTATAATAACACAAATCTTGTGAAACATCACTATCTACCCTGTGTTAAAAAGCAAAGAATTATCTTCAAGGAATAAGTAACTGTAGTTATTAATGAAAATTTTCTTCGACATGTTATGAAAGCTGAGTTAAGAATCACCACGAAAAAACGCAAATTAAATATTGCATTGAACTGTTACTAAAATGATAATAATCTAAAAGAAATTGAACTAATTTATTAACTATTTGTCATTAACACATTCTTTGACTTCCCATAGATTTCGGGTTTTAAAATTATCTTATACATTTTTCTCCGTGAGTTTATACTACCCTCTCGAATTATAGTGTCTACACGCTTATCTTTCCTATTATTACAACTACTACTACCGATACCGTTACTACTTCTAATAATCTGAAAATTGACTTGATAACTTTATCGCTCTGTACCGAAATGGAGTGGTGGTTTGAACAGATGCACATATGTGCCTGATTTTATGTTAATGAGGACTAATGGACGTTTAAAGATTTGAAGCAGGCATGGAAAATCAAGTTTATCCAAGTAAAATTATGATATTATGAATAAATGCGATTTTGTCACCATCAAAACGCCTAACAATATTTCGAAAGGTGAATAGATACATACATCATTTAAATGAGTCCACTGAAATATTCTAAACACGAGATTCATTCCAATATTTTATACCTTTTGGTCATAGGAAGCATTTATCGATAAAAAGCCTTAAGGTTGAAATAATTTGACTCTAAAACCATATTAAAGCTAATCATTAAATAGTTATTGGCTACTGTGAGTAATTATAGTTAGTTGTGCAGTACGGAGGCATAGTAAGTAGGACTGGTGAGGCTACAAACCTCCACTGACTGAGACAGTTGGGATATAGATAAGATATGTCTAATCCCCACTTACCCCGATACTCAATAAGCAGACCGGGAAAGAGCTAAGGGTTACTACAAAATCAATTCATGAAACCACTAACCATTAGATTAAACTATATAGATTGATGCATGCTTATTGTTCACGGTACTCTAGATAAACGGTATCTATGGTTAGAAATTTGGTGTGACATGGTATAAAATCAGTTGGTTGCAGATATATTCATTTCTTATCTTTTTCATTGACAACAAATAACTTATTTAAATAAACAACCATCTTCGGTAATTTCGCTTATTAAAATAGTCTAATTTTATCGTCATTCACTGGCGATAAAGTTTCTGAAATATAAACACTTATTCCCTATTGATATCAGCTCAGCCAGTTACAACGTAGGACCAGGCACATACATGCATCGGTTCAAGTTGCCACACCTCATTAGCACAGCAAGATATACACCAGATTCATAGAAGCATTTAACTCAATGGTGTAATATATAAAAGAAAGATTTTATGTAAGGATATAGTACAGAAAGAAATAGTTTGCAGAAAGAAAGAAATTAAGCGATTTTAATCTCATAGTTTAAAGGAAGACAGAGAGTGTATACACCTATGTCATTGTGATCGATTCTGAGCCACGTCACTCCGAGTCTCCAACCGTTGTTGCTACCTTGATGTGGTGGTCGGGCTTGCCTATCGTGATGAAGCAACTGAGCTATACTGGCTCGAACAATCGTTCCTCAAGGTCCTACCATGCCAGACAGGTCGGTTGAAGAGCGGTAAGACTAAAAGCAACAAATCCAAGATCCGAAGGCGAAGTCGTACTACTGACTGTACAGAGGTGTGACAGCAGTAAGGTGTTTCCTTCAGACAACCAGCATAACAGCGATGCTGCCTTCCCACAAGGGGGGGGTAAGGTTAGAAAAGGTTGACCCTAAAAATTCACACCTCGCCTTATCCCAGAGATATCCGTCTCGGGTGGTAAGGTCCCAACAAGTACGGAGCTAACACGAAAATTACTCAAAAATAGGTCGTGTGTGACCGATCTCGAACAGTCGTCCCTTGAGCACTGCGGTCACGCTCTCAGGTCACTATGACCACCTCTAGTCCAATTTCCTATTCAGGTAACTCCAAAGGAACCCTTCCATGGTGTGGGCAACCGGAAAGTGATAACCGCCCTCATACATCTAACAGCACTTAATACCACTGTATTCATAATCAACCCCTCTCTTCAGTTCCTACTATTCCTCCTACAGCGACCTTGATATCAGCTAGTAGATTTTGTCTATTGGGCAGAGACACTTTAGGAAAATAGTTCAAAATAAATTGTTGGAGTGACGAGATGGAATTGATCTGAAAAAATGTGATTTATTCGAAGCATACATTTTGAATAATCCGGTTAGATGTATACTTATATCAAGACATTTATAAAAACTAATAAAGGTCAATTAAATAAGAGTTCAAATAAATGTAGTGATACCTGAAAATAAGGGAAAAAATTAATACAAAATGGAAATAATAGGAAACTGTCGTCACCCTAGGCTATGAAATGGATAAAGATTACTAGGGTAGATTCAAGGTTATAATTAATTGTTACTATATACATAAAAGAAGTCTGCGTATTCTGATAGTTAAAGCTTCTTTTTCTGAATTTCAGAATGCACCCTGGACAATTGCTATACGTTTTGAAAGCTGTGTTGATGTCAACTCTATGGTACATTAAATATTTAATTATCGATGAACATTTTTTTAAAGATCAATTTCATTTACTGATCGTCACATAAAAAAAATTTATAGAATGGAGTAATGTTTTAAAATAAAGCATTTTGTTTTTAAGGTTCAATAATGTAATACTACAGAACCACTCATATGAACTTACCGTGTTAAATCATGTTTATTTACATCAAGAGGTATATCAGAATTCTAAAGTATAAATCATAATAAAACAGAAATAAAATTTTCTTTTATTTTATACAATGCAAAATTTACAGAATTAGATAATATTACAATAAAATTAATCAAATATGGAAAGAGAAAAAAAAGAAGTAACATCAATTGACATTCTCACGCAAAAATTAAACGAGATAAAAAGACAAAAACAATGAAATACAGTAAAACCACCTTCTTTTATCTAAATAGCTATTTCTCTATTTTTTTTAAAAAGAAAGGCAGTTAACGATAACTGTTACTGTGAATTATTGATATTCTAGCTCTTAATATGATAGAGTAAACCCCACCCATTTTCCCCTATGATAAAATAATAATAATAATCGTTATTGCATAAATGAGAATATAAATCGACATTTATTTTCATGGAAAAGTACATATATGCATATAAATAATCGATTAGTCTTCGTATAGCATAAAATAGATAACCTATTCACAATGAAAAAAAACAATTTCTCAAATTAATTTCGAAAATATTTTTGTATAATTGATAGGTAATTTGTATTTTTTTTTTGTAAAATGAGACATGTGAATTTCGTATCGAAAATAAAGATGAGGAATCTTAAGCTACACACAAACAAAAGTACAGTACTTTATGATTTTAGATTATTCCTTTCGAAAACTAACGAACAACTTAAACCAAAGCTTACATGAAACTTAGGTCATCTAGTAATCTAACGTCGGATATGTGAAACCAAAAAGGGGCTACATACGATGAATAGGTCTATATATAAAAAGCAAATTTAGGTCATTTAAAAAAACATCATAGCAATATCATCAATACAGTACGTTTTAGGGATTGCTGTAATACGATCTGAAAACACTAACGAAAAACACAAACCCAAATACTGATTAGGCTGAGAATATTAAGATCGTTAACATAAAGTAACGCATATAACAAGGATGTCATATATGACTTCTGTAAATAAGGGTTAGTTGTTTCTTGCTGTGGTAAATGAGAGCACAGTTTTAAATTCATATTTAGCATGACATTTGTTATTTTCTAGTCGGATAATTCTTCTATCGCAAAGTCGTATCTGATTATATATATATGGAGTTATTCCACGTTTATTTTTCTTTGTTAAGCTTCATGCTATTTTCTGCATAGTTACCATTTTTGAGTTAAATCGTAAGAGATTATTGTTGAAGAGTTGTGTATGTCAGTTGCCATTTTATCAAGTTTGTAGTAGATTTCTTACGTATAAGAATAATCTTTATCGTCCCCATCGGACAAGCCAAGAGTGAGAAAGTAGCAGCACCAGACACAATAAACTGAAGCACTGAATTCATAAACAGAAGTACCTCCAAGGACAATGCACACCCACCTATGAAGATTATGGGTAGAAAAACAAATGCCAACAGACTGGATAGAGGGGTACCTCATCAAGATACTAAAGAAACGTGACCTTAGGAAGTGTGACGACCACAGAGGTATCCCACTACTGTCAGTAACATGGACAGTTTTCAAAACTGAACGGAAGATTTAGTAAACACTCAACTTCTAAACCATAGGGTTGGCTTTCGTAAGAATCGATCATATACCGACCACATCTTGACATTACGGATCATTAACTGAATGGCATTTGTCACTGCATATCAACTCCCTTGACTATGAGAAAGCATTCAAACGCGTGCAGAGAAAAGCCTTTAGAAACTTCCTCCAAAAACATGGAGTACATTGGAAGATCGTCAACATCATACGGAATTCTTACGACGGGTTACACTGTAAAATCATCCATGGAGGGTAGCTCACAGATGCATTCCACGCAAAGACCGGCGTCAGATAACGTTGCTTAGTCTCGCCTTTCCTCTTTCGGCTTACGAAAGCCTCAAAATCGTTAGAAAAGCACGGGATACAATAAACAGCATGCATGCAACAAGACGATTTGGACTTTGAAGATGACCTAGCTCTTCTAACTCATATAGATGCAGGTGACGACAGGTAGTGTAGCAACAGCCTCTGAAGCGGTAGGCCTCAACATACACAAGGAAAAAAGTAGGATCCTCAAATACAATACAGTGAGCACCAACCCAATCACACTTGATGTAGAAACTCTAGAAAAGGTGGAAACTTTCACGAACTTGGTTAGCATCATCAATAAACAAGGAAGATCTGATGTCAGTGATAAAGGAAAGGACTGGAATAACAAGGGCCACATTCCTACAGTTGGAGAACAAAATGGAACTCAAAATAACTGTCTGCAAGCTAACATCAAACTCGGAATCTTCGATACGAACGTAAATACAGTTCTACTGTGCGGAGCTGAAACTTGGAGAACTACTACAACCGTCATCAAAAAGTACAAGTATTTATAAACAGTTGTTTACGCAAGCCACTACGAATTCGTTGGCCGGACACCAACTGCAACAACCTAATTTGGTAGAGAACAAACCAGACCTCAGTTAATCAAATATTACGAAAAGATACGATAAGACACTTCAGGGAAATCGTCAAACTGCATCACGAAACAAGCCTTGACTTGGGATCATCAAAGCCGAAGGAAAAGAGAGAGACCCAAGAACACACTGAGACGGGAATTAAAAAGAAGCATCAAAAGAATTAATAGCACTTGGTAACAAGTAGAAAAGAGAGCCTAGGACAGAGTATGTTGGGGAATTCCGGCCGGTGGCCACAAGGGATAACAGACGTACGTAAGTGACCAGACTGAAAGGAACAAATCACTAAAAAGTAAACCTCCACTATAACAGCACCATTAAATAGAGCGTATAATACTTGAACATAATTTTTCTGCATATTTATTTAATGGATAAACAAAACTGATTTATTTGAATAACACAGAAAAAACTAAAGTACTAATCGAGTATTAATTTACTGATTATGTTAAACGTAAAAATAGATGGTTACATTTGTTGAAATTTACCTTATGCAACTCAAACGTCAAATAAAAGCAAATACATTGCGAATAATGTTAAGTATAACTCAAGAGAGTTAAATATATACTCACTTTGCCTAGGGAGGATAAATATACCGGATTATCTCGTTTAATACTTTCTGATATGAAATTAGACGTTGGAAGTGAAGGCAGACATCCTTTCCCATCAGAAAATATTTTACTATTAGAAATAGTTTGTACTCTAACTGAACAAATACTACTGCTATTATTGGCTAAATCGCCTGTTACAATTGGTTGATCGGATGATTTACCGGTGGACTGTAAAGATAAAACAACTTTGCTACTTGTAGTAAATGGTCCATTTGATGAACTCTGTGATGACATTTCAGCAATATCTTCTTTTTCACACAAATCAATATATTTAATACTACAGAATAAATTTTTCTTTTCACTTTGATCCGCATTATTAGATGTTTGATTTTCAGTAGGTGGATTAGATTTTTGACGTTGTAAAACTATGAATTCATAGGTTGTCATACCTTTTATATCTGAAATGAATGAGGAAAATATGGTAACTAATAAGGTTGAAAACGATATTCATTAATAAACTGGAAATGAATGATGTAAACCACAGATTGATGCTTTAGAGTTCAACACAACTTCAAGAAATCACTTCATTTACTTCCATTTGAACAGCGGAATATTATGTGTCTAGTGCACTATGGTAGTACATTTTATTAGTTTTGTTCGTCAGATAGATTTCAACTTTTTATTCTGATAGCAATCAAGCCAGCCTAAGAAACCTTATTTTCAACCACAATTTCGGGATTATTTTTTGGCATATATTCTAAAAGTATTAACAAAGCGCGAGCGACAGTGAGCACAAATCATTTATGAGAATCTAAGGACAATAACGATATGATTCAAGTCTATTTTTCTCTTGTTGATAAGTCAATTGTTGGGAAAGTAATTCAATGTCTAGCAAGAACATGTGCTCGACTGTACACTGCTGAAACAAGATTTCGCCGTTAACGTTTTTTTAACAGAAAATGATTTATAAGAGAATTTGCACTATTAACTTTGGTTGCTTGTTATTTGACAGAAGTGGCTTACATTAAGTCACGAAACATCAAAAATACAATTTTTTTACTCGTTGGGATATAACGAAAATATATTTATTGACTTTCTACTTAATGCTCAGTTTATTTAAAACTATCAAGTCTAACCTTAGTATTGATACCTACAAAATAATTAATTTGATGTTCAATTAATTAGTTACTTCAAAATTTCACATCGATGGCATAAAATCTTTCATTTCGGTATGAGCGACAGATATGAGTAACTTTTAGGTCGATTACTAATTTTTATTATTGATCATGGATACAATCTGCTCCGTTCTACCATACAGCTGTGGAAAATGGCCTTTAAAAATAGAGGATATTTATACGTAACTAGTATTCGATCATAGATGCCGTCAAAGGATTGCTCGTGTATTTTGGGACCATCGAGTTAGCGATTTTGAGGTCAGATATAGAGTACTAGGTAACGATTACAAATCCATTGACGAAGTAGGGAATCTTTATTGACTGAGATGGCTAAAACTTGCATTACGTGGACCCATACACCAACTACTTCGACCTGAGCTGACGACAATTGTAGGAATAGGTTGAAAGAAAGCTATGGGCAGCTAAAACAACAGAGAAACTTTCTTGGACTCAGATCCTTGTAGGTAGGCACCAACTACATAATTGTGGTTCTTATGATTATCGTAATGACATGAATGACATGACCAAGAATCGTTCGCGATATTGTAGTTGCATTCACTCCCTGTCTTTCCCATAAATTTTTGAAATCTAGTTTACTAATCTACATTTAGTCGACTCGTATCTTGTATGAATACTCTTTTCGATAACCACTAATACTGTTATTGCTTCTACTAATCTGGGATTTTTCCTGACAATTTTATCTTTCTGTGCTAATGAGGTCTAACAACTTGAACAAATGTACACAAGTGCCAGGATCTACGTTGAGTAAGACAGATTGGCTAACTAATGTCATTAGTGCTGAGCTCTTTCAAAACGACAACCATGTAGCACTATATACACGAAATACGTGCATGAAAATTACAGTTGTTTTCACCAAACAGTCTCCGATATACAATTATCCGTAATCAACGTCAAATTGATATGTTTTTATGTCCTTAGTTTGTTTACAATCCGTACACTGCTGTTAGCTTTTTGGCACGGTCTGCTTAACCTTCTTCTAATAGCCGAAGTTCCAGGAACAGATAACTTAACAATTACAGTCAATAGGACGCAAGGTGAGAACAAAGGACGATATTCAAATGCCAGGGTCAGCATCCAATAGCCAGAAAGCTCTGAGGCGGAAAGTTAGGAGTAAGAAAAAACGAGAGAAATGAGTGCTACGTCCTTGACAAATGCTACGGAAACAGAACGAGAACACTTAACACACTATAAACTTACATAAGTATATATGAAAGATTATTAGATGCACCAAAAAGGCATCAATGCAAAAAGTAAATAAACATCCAACAATAGCGATTATAAAGAAAACCAATCCAGATGAATTTAAACCGAATATGCGGAAAACTCCATCTACGAATTCCAATGTTGAAATAGGAAGTCAGTAACCAATTACGAAAAGAAATATACAAGAAATAAACACATAATTTCTAAGTATGATGGGATAAAAATTGAGGGTGAGTGAAAACAATGACAAAAATGTTTATTTGAAAGGTCCGCTAAAACAGTGCAGATGCAGTGAATCCTTACTTTAAGAAAAGGCAAGTGGTTATAAATCACGATAACAGTCAAGTGCAAAGTATTTTTAAATAGGTTAGTCAATCAGCCTGACAATTAGTAGATATTAAGTACAAAGGTTGCAGAAAAATATTTGGAAAGCTTTATTTTAATATAAATGCTCCGATTTTTAATGAATAACTGTATGAAGTAAACAAGAAAAACTCATAGGATGATCATTTACTTCACAATTGTTTTGACAATGACCAAGTAAACCATTAAAGATAAATGCATTGGATTGAAGATATCTTATTCAGTACAATTTCTTAACTTTTCCAGGTCGTCCCTCTAAAAGGAGTAACATGGTTTTCAAATACATAATGATATAAACTACAAACAAGTTTAATTGTTAGTATATAAAAACAACTGTAGGGACGACTATCTGACAGATAAGATCTCTCTAGATATTCAAAGACTTTGAATGTTTAGTGGGGATATCGTGCAAGAACTAGTATTATCTACGTGCTGGTGCTAAGCCTAAACTCACAAATGATTGATTTTATTTTTGTGTCCAACTTGGACGCCAAAGAGTTATGGCATTAAAATTATATTTAATTAGGTAAAAACTTCATGGGTGCTAACACAAATAATGGCAACAAATATAAGTCTCCCACTTTCATAAGCTGCATTTCACAGTTACAGTGACAGAATGACCTACTGAGCTATATGCTCGCTATCTAATATATATAACCAATCTAGGAACTGTTATAGATGTGTGCCAATTCTGCTTAGCACACTCCACATCAGTGTGGTGTGACCGAGAGTGGGGTAGGTTCGCCCTCACTCTCGAAATACTCTCACATGGCCACGCGTACATAACCTCTGCCAGGGAATTCCTACTCACTGCCTTCTCGTGGCGAGGGTGTTGTTTACGAAAATGAGAGGACGAAAAGCGAATGTCCGGCGCTTTAACCGGATCTCAAATCAATGGTGCACATGGGCTCCAGTATCCTGAAGGAACAAATGGCGTATGAACCGATTTCTTGGTCACCGGCTTCTATGGGACTGCATCTCCTCACGATGCTCCACTGCCTTGTGGGTTAGACCTTTAGGTCGAAGGCTCGGGGTGTGCCCTCCTAAGAAAACCACCTGCTTCGGTCTGGGCACCCGGGCAGTATCACAGCCCACACACAAATATAATGAAAATGACGATCTCTGAAAACTCTGTTCACGCTGCGATTTATCGTCAAACAATTAACATTATTATTATTATTATTATTATTATTATTATTATTATTATTATTATTATTATTATTTACCACGTCATTTATTCACTCTCTTTTATTTCCACTCTATCTATCCTTATTTTTCGACTTATACAGCAGCTCGCCTATGGTGGACATTCGGCTCTATCTAAACGTTCTCGAGTCACTGCCTGGTTTAAAATTGTATGTTACCACCGAATACGAGTACTGTAGCAGTTTTTCTGAAACCACATGCACCATTGAAACTGGCTACCCTCAACGTCCGCACACTTATGCAGGTCGGACAACAGATAGGGCTGGCTATGTCTTTGGAAAGTCTTAATATCGACGTTTGTTGTCTATCCGACACTCGTATTCAAGACTCTGGTGAAGTACTACAAGTTTGCTCTCCATCTGTCACTTCAAAAAGCTTGTTTTACGTGCGTTTATCCAGGTACCCTGTGGCATCTTCGTCTGGTCTTTCTGGCGTTGGTGTCGCGCTAAGCGCTAGAGCTGAGGCAGCACTAATCGACTGGATCCCCATTAACAGTCGGTTATGTGCTGTTAGATTAGAAAGTTCCATCAAAGTGAGAAGAAATCGGCGTGAGAAACGATGTCTTTTCGTCATCCCACCGAAAAGTATAGATGAGCATTGGTTGCAATTGCATGACGCCATGAAAATGGCGGGTCAAGTCTGTTGTGGGTTCGCGAAACGTCCCGCTTACAAGCACTGGGTTTCTTCTGGTTCCTTACAACTGATTGAAGCCCGTCGGTCCACTCCGGGTGACCGTGAGTTTGACCACAGACGAAGGATGTTACGTAATGAAATCGGGCAAAGCTTGCGTAAGGACCGTGAAGCCTGGTGGTCGGAGCGTGCTAATGAGCTGGAAGCAGCAGCTGCATCTGGTAATTATCGGAAGCTTTTCCAACTCATCCGAGCCACTGGCAGCAAGAAGTCTGGTGTGAGCGAAACAATCTGCGAGGATGACGGAACGCCAATCACTAACATCCATCGACGTCTTGGACGATGGGCAGAATTCTTTGAAGGGCAGTTCAACTGGCCTGCTGCTCCGGCAAAGGTCTGGGAACTAGAGAGTGTACCAACGTCATGGAATGAGTCGATAGTTGTCCCTATCTTTTAAAAGGGTTCACGTCGTTCCTGTAACAACTATCGGAGGATCAGTCTACTTCCGATCGCGTACAAGCTACTGGCTTCCGTCATACTTCGTAGGTTGTTCAAAACCCGAGAAAGATCGACTCGCGAGGAGCAGGCTGGGTTTCGTTCTGGTCGAGGATGTATTGATCATATCTTCACCCTCCGCAAAATGTTAGAACACCGCCATACTTATCAAAGGCCAACAATCGTAGTGTTTCTTGACATTAAGGCTGCCTTCGATTCGTTGGACAGAACTGTTCTCTGGGATTGTCTTTTGAAGAAGGGTGTGCCTGAGAAGTTTATTAACATCCTAAATACCCTATACACAAACACCTCAGGCAGAGTGAGGGCATACAACCACCTTTTTCCATTATTCCATTCGAGCAGTGGGGTTGGGCAGGGTTGCCCAATCTCACCATTCCTCTTCAACTTTGCCATCGATGACATTCTGGAAACAGCTCTGATGAATGTAAGTAATGGTGGTGTGGATCTGTTGCTTGGAGAAAGACTTCTCGACCTTGAGTATGCGGATGATATTGTCTTACTGTGCGAGAATGCCCAAGCTATGCAATCCGCACTTGATCAGTTGGCAATCAATGTCCGTAGGTATGGTATGTGCTTTGCACCCTCGAAGTGCAAAGTACTTCTACAAGATTGGCAGGATTCTAATCCTGTACTCACTCTGGATGGTGAGCAGATAGAAATAGTCGAGAAGTTCGTGCATCTAGGTAGCTGCGTAAGTGCTGGTGGTGGTGTGAGTGATGAGATCAATGCACGTATAGTGAAAGCCAGAGCGGCTTATGCCAATCTGGGCCATTTTTGGCGCCTTCGTGATGTTAGTCTGGCTGTAAAAGATCGGATCTACAACGCGTCGGTGAGAGCAGTTCTACTCTATGCTTGTGAAACCTGGCCTCTCCAAGTTGAGGATGTTAGACATCTCTCTGTGTTCGATCATCGCTGTCTCCGAAGGATTGCTAACATCCAGTGGAAACACCATGTTAGTAATGCAGAGGTCCGGCATCGTGTGTTCGGTCACAGAGACGATAATTAAATTAGTGTCACCATCTTGAAACACCGACTTCGGTGGCTTGGACATGTTCTACGAATGTCGTCCCAGAGAATTCCTCGTCGTGCATTATTTGCCGACCCTGGGACTGGTTGGGAAAAGCGAAGAGGTGGTCAGTGTATGACACGGTGTCGCGGTATGAAAGAAAGCTGCAAAGGGCTGGCTTCTGTTGGTCCTTCACGACTCCCTGGATGGGGTCCGAGAGATGGTGTAACACAGTGGCTAGAGACGTTATCAGATATGGCTCAGAATAGAAGCCAGTGGCGATCCTGTTGTGACGTTCTTTTACTTTCTTCATAAAAAGTGGCTGTATCCTCCTTAAATGTAAGATTTCTTCTGAGTGTACCTTTTCGTCTCCCCCCATTATTGTTCTTTTTTTTATTTTATAATCCCCTACGTTCCTTACTTTTTTTCCCTTCTTAAATTCTCATTGTTTTGTGTGGCGCATATATATTTGGTGCCCCCCTGTACCAATATTTATGTGTTCAAATAAATAAATAAATAAAATAAACATCAGTGTGGTAGTTATTATTTGAACCCCTTGGAACAGGTAAATTTAAATACTACAAAGTTCTTTTGTTGATGAATTTCATAAATTAGAAATTAGACAATAAACAAACGGTTAAATATCTTTGACCGCCTAATGTGAACACACTCAGAAGTTAACTGCTAGAACTGAAAGATACTTGTTCATATAGTGATAACACGAGTATGATATCTGCCAAAATAGTTAAAGGACAGTCAAATGTTGTAAATCGCTTGAATAGTGAGTTGCGTTATTCCAAACCATAATCAGAGGGTCCAATGAATACAGGACTTTCAGATAATTTATTGCATATTGAAAACATGTGTAATATATGGTAATAGTCAAGATTTTGTATATGAAATAATAACGTTTTAGAAAAATAGGAAATGTGGTTAGAAGACCGAGCTTTTTAAAAATATCACAGTCAAGAGCAACATATATACCAAAAACAGCACTTACCATTGGTTATTAAATAATCTAGATGTTCAACAGTTCCATTGGTGAATGTTTGCCAGTAATCTGTTAAGACAAAAAAGCAATAACGAAACATGTATGACAAATAATTTAATAACTGAACGTATATTTTTGATAATTTTTTTAATACAAAAGTAATAAATAAGTAGAATGAGGTACAAAACAACAGCTGATAATTTTGTGGAAGGGGAAAAGTAATCTAATCACAACAGTATGAAGGAAACCAAGATAAATAAAAACAGAATAGAAGTAGATATTACTTCGATTAAAATATATTACTATTTGTGTAATATAAAGATGCGAAACACTAAACAATAGTTATCGATTTTGGTTTAAAGTCTCCCTTTAAACTACCGAGTTGAATAATTTTTCTGATCTCCCCAGAGGGAACCATGACGATAACTTGATAAGGATTCGTTCGCCCTAGAATGACATCACAAAATAATCCCTTTATTAATGAATAGCTGGACCAGTACTTAGCACGAGAAATATTGAAGTGAATATGTAAAACATACCAGATCCTCAGAAGCTAGTGTCTGAAAACGAGTTCAAGGGTTGGTTACGAAACACATTGCCGAAAATTAGGATAACACATTTGGTATTGACACTGAATGTGAGTAATCATAAAAAGACAGCAACAATTAAATGCACAGAATCACTCAGCATTTTTAGATAAGAAAGGCGAGTCTTTAAAACCATAGATTACACTTAATGCAACCCTGTGTATCAACGCACTTTACAGTTGGAGTAAAATGACGATGACATCAAATGCTATCCCACATTATCCATTACGTTAATCCGGTATTCGCTATAGGGGAAATGAATCTAAAAATTTAAACTTGTTTCATGCGTGTACTACACTGTAAACAAAACATGATCCAACATGATGTCCATGTTGGTGAATATTAGCCTAATGCCTTTATAAAGACAAAAATTTGAACTAATAATGTTTCAGTCCATACCCCCCACAAAAAATACAACTAATAGAGGAGCTCAATATAAACTCACTATGACACTTACTATCAACATTTGACATGTTAACTAGTGAGATAATTTAAGGGTTTATTTTGCCAACACATACAAATGCGTTGACTCAAGCAACAAATAATAACACAAAGTAATAAATATTTAGCATAGATATATATGCCTACATATTTTGAATGGAGGTTGTGTTAATACAACCTGGCACCAAATAGGTGTGATGAATTAAATCTAACAATAACTACAAAGTTTACGCTTGTAAGTCAGTTACAACGTAGGACCAGGCATATATGTACATCGGTCCAAGTTACCATACCTCATTAGCACAACAAGATAAACACCAGATTCATAGTAGTAGTTAATCCAGTGGTGGCAATATATAAAAGAAAGACTGTATATAAAGATATAGTACAGGAAGAAAGAATTAGTTCGCAGAAAAAAAGATATGAAGCGATTTTAATCTCATAGTTTAAAGGGATACATAAAGTGTATACACCTACGCCATTGTGATCGATTCTGAGCCACGTCACTCAGTTTTCAACCATTGGTTACGATAGTCACGCGAACCCCAACCAAGTAGTTTGCATATACCAACATATCTCAGACTAGAAGTTAGTGACTTAAAGCACTGATGCCATGCTTGTAAGTTTAATGAGTTCTTAAGAAATTTTTATTTTATCGTTTAAATATGATGTTGGGTTGAAGCATTTATAAGTAAGGAAACTGGAAAGCTGTATTTGGCAGAAATAATAAATACTTATATTTAACAAGCACGATTAAATAATTGACCAATTATATATACAAGTGTAAGAGTATTAATATTATAATATGTATGAATGATTATATCATACATTCGATCGTTAACAATGTTTAGCTGATAGTTGATACACATCACTTGTATTTACTAAATAAGTGACCTAGGTCAACATTTTATCTTCATATGAATGATGTGATCATATTTTATACTTGTTTGACTGTTACAGTGGAGAATTATAGTGTTCGTTAGTGTATAATTAGTGACACAGTGGATATTGGTTACCAAAACCGAAATATTGATATGAACCGCACAGGTGGATTTAGAGTGAAATACAGTATAACTGGTCAACAAAAGGTTCATTCTACTCAGTAATAATAACATACTTTTATACAATATGTAGGACAAAATAAACATTTCAATAGTTGAAATCATGAATCAATTGAAGCTAAACCACCATGGAAAACCTGGAAGCACTGGACGGCCGTTTCGTCCTAGTATGGGACTCCTCAGCAGTGCGCATCCACGATCCCGCCCCCCGCGGGATTCGAGCCCAGGACCTATCAGTCTCGCGCCAGGCGCTTAACCAACTACACCACTGAGCCGGCATCCAAAGGTGTTAATGTCTAACTTCAACCAATCCACGAAGTTGCGCCACCGTCACCATTGTCTTCAGTGAGCTGATATCTCACAACAGACCTGGTTGAACTCCACTGGTCACGGCTTCTCACTAGAACTCCAGGAGTATCTCTTGAAGTCAGTCACTAGTGAGCAGATGATTATTACTAGAATGGGTTTTGTGGAGAATTGGTCCGTCCAGTGCTTCCAGGTTTTCCATGGTGGTCTAGCTTCAATTGATTCATGATTTCAACTATTGAAATTACCAATTCTCCACAAAACCCATTCTAGTAAAATAAACATTATTAGAATTTATAAATAGTATGAATTATTGCTATGCAATGATATCTGAAAGTTAATGAACTTAGATATAGGTCAGTCTTCTATCTGCTATGATAACCATAAGAATTTTTAGCAATTACAATGTGTTTTCATAGGAATGGAATTAAGTTTTTTTTAGAAATCAGTAATGTGATTATACAGACGACGCATTATGTTGATCTGAATAGGTATAAATACAGTGATACGACTAAATAGTGAAAAATGCTGAAGAACAAAATCAATTTTATAGAAAGTCTATGCAAGTAGTTGTTCATTCATAAACAGTGTAGTATCTGGTGTATTGGGTTTCAGTTACCAGTCTTCTATCAGTACAATAACCAGAAATTAATAAAGTTAGAGCTAAAAATTTCGGATTATTGAAGTAATAATGATTTATTCTTTTACCTACTTTAACTTTGATAAGTTTTGCGGTGTACAAAAACTCTCAGTAATTTATCAAAATCCTTTACATTGTCAACAATAAAATTATTTTCTGATTTAAAAATAAATATATCTTCAATAGATTATACTGGCCAATTCATAAATTTTTGCATTTATGATATTAAAAAAATTTTCAACACAATAAAACAAATACTACAATAAAGAATTAGCGGTGAGACGATAATTTAGGGACGACCTTTGAACGAAGCTAGACTGACTTTGAGAGTGTCCACTTGATGACCAGGACCAAATGAGGGTTATAAACCAGTGTGAAGAATTAGAATTATAATTTACAGTTGATGATTAAGGTTAGGAATTAGATTTCGGGTTTTCATCACGAACTGACATAAGCTATAATGGCAAAACTCTATTTATCCGAATGGATGAATGAATTTCGCGCCAAAATCCGAGACTTGACATCTTATACGTGATCGATCCGTCCATAAATTATAGTCTCGTCAAATTAGCATAAACTTTGAAGAATATGCACAGACGGTAAGACATATTTACATACTTAAATGAAATCTAAATATTCAACAAATATTAGGTTGTTATGGTTCGAAACTTATTAATTTGTTTGAACTGAATATCATATACAGTTTTCAGAATTCATTTCAAAATAATTATAGGCAAATCAACGTAATCATAAATACATTGTTAAAATGAATGAGATTATTATCAGTTGAAAAACATCATTCATTATAAACTATATTATGCATAAGAAAAGAGAATGTTAAAACAAAAAATAAACTGTCTTATTTTACAATTCATAATTGACCCATTAATAATCCGTTTAAATTTATGCGCTAATTACACTTTAAATTCAAGAAATTATTGACAACTTAAGAATGTCAGGAAGTTTAAAAGAGAAGAAACCTATGAAGTTTATGGCAACCGAATTATTTGTTATTAATATTCGTTATAATAAGTGGGCAATATGATCATAATGTCATATCAAATAATAATCTTATTATTACGTATGCCAATAAAAATTAGCAGTTAACTATCATTAAACAATGATGAATAGGCGTGGCTTTTCACTAAAACATTTTGTATACTACAATTAAGGGAGTTTATACACGTAGTGAATCGTTGTGAATAAAACAAATTTTACCTACTCTAACCACAATTATTAATAAGAATAGGAATAAGAATGTTTTCTCTCCTTGCATAGACCTTTCAAGTCTATTATTGACTAAATATTTCAATGATTGCTTTGCTTTTTTTAGATACTACAAATCATACAGAAATAACTTCAATGATCGATTTAATGACTAAACTTTGATTATGCTGGACAGTTAAACTGCAAAAAACATGTTTTACCAATGAATAAAATTCCATGAACCAAATGCAGAACATAATGAATTTGAATACACCCAAATAATGTAATTGAACGAATAAATTATTTAGAATCAACTACAAAATCAGTGCAGCAAACAATCACTTATGCAAAGTGACCGCGATTAGCATTTGCATCTTATAAGGCCCAAACCAATGATAAAATGACATGTTTTTGATTAGGTCTTCAGCCAGATTTTCAACATATGCCATAAACACATCTGCTAATAATGGTCGTAACGGACTACCCATAGCAACCCCATTAATCTGGCGAAAATATTCACCTTCAAAAGTGAACTGAGCTTTGTCAGTATATAATAATAGTAAGTCTTCAAGAATTTTTAGAGGGACAGGTAATTTAAGGTTGTTTAAAGATATGTAGTCACATAATATATCAATAGTCTTTATCAAAAGTACATTTGTGAACAAGGAATTCACAATGAATGAACACAATGTCTTTTCCTTGATATTAATATCACCTAAATGATCGACCAATACAAACGGGCTTTGATAAGGTGTCTATTTAACAGGCTTGGTCGCATTTGTACAAAGGACGCCGTTGATGATAATGTTAGGTTGCTAAATAAAACAGTAATGGAAAATGGTTATCCTCTTAAATTCATAAATAGATGGAAAGTTCATGGTACAGTGAGACCTACTGTAGCTTTGGCAGAGAAAAGGTCTGTCTACATCACCTTACCATTTAGAGGTGATTCGAATAGCCCTTTATTGAAACAAAGACTTACATCAGTCATTGATAAAACATATTGTGCAGCGAAGGTAATTATCAAGGAAACAACAAGGTTCATACTTCATCGAAAACCTAAAAGATAATAAAGCGATTGCGTCACATCGCATTGTGCTTACCAATTTAAATGTGTGTGTGGTCACACATACATGAGGAGTAATCGCGATCTCAGAATTAGGGTGTGAACAAGTACCTAACCTAAATGGTTGCAGAAACAAATGACCCAATAAGAGTAGGGGATAAACATTCATCATCCTCTATTACCAAACATAATTGAAACAGGTCATAAAAGTGATCTTAACACGGCTTTTGTGGTGTTGTATAATAGTGCAAAAGGGCGTATACTTAAGTTTATTGAAGCCTCAGTCATATGAAAATTCAAACCCCCTCTGTGTATCCAAAAACAGTTTGTTCTCTCCTTAAACATACCCTGGTAACATTAGCTTATTATCCAGAGTGATGAGGTTTCAAATTGTTTTCACATTATTTTCTTTGTTATCCTTGTCTCCTCTTACCCTTCATTTCTAGTCTAGTTGACCTTTTATTTTTTTTATATACAAATGTTCTTAACAAGTATATGTGTGATCAGATTGTTCGAGATGTATTGCGCTAATATATCACATATTTCCGATAATCTTCGTCTTCTTATTACACTATCGAAATTTATCAAAGAAACTAATTGCTTTAAATTTTTACTTAAGCTGGCACAACTGGTATTCAGCATGGAAAATTGGTTTACAAACCTCAACTGGTTTCTGATACAATTTATGGATTAAACGGTTAGAAATATAAATCAGATTGAAATCTTGAAAATTCTTACAAGATAGGAATAATGTTATAAAAAGAAAATGAAAAATGAAGTGAAAACGGGAAATATGGAGGAAAAGATACAAAACGCCTGTCACTACTGATTCAGAAGCGATAAGGAAACTCGACATCTTTCCAACGTTTGAGTTGTAGCTCCAATAAAAGCAGATTCCATTTCACAGTAACAATACTTGTAGTTTACGCTTTGTCAACGAATCCATTTGGGATGGTAATTTTTCCAAACAATCACAATGAGAACGATATTGGTGAATGTTATGCATGGATTTTTATAAGGTTGTGTATTTAGTTCATAACTGTTATATGTTATTAATCAAAAATAAACAATGAAAACTGTTAAGAAAACAAAATGATAAATATTAGATGTCATCATTTGAACATGTAATTATTTAGTTGGACAAACAACGCACTGGTGTATTTTCATTTTATATCGATGACAAGTCAATAGAAATGACCTCAATCCTTATCACTGATGTACATTTGAGACAATAATGCTAGGGTTAATAAATCCACACTCTGCATGTCGATATCTTAATAGAAAAATAATACAATAAATCCAGGGAATTTCATAGTGAACTATTCGAATGTGGTATTCTTGTTGTTGTGACTTACGCTGCTAAATGTCACGGAATAAAAGTTTTAGCGGATGAGATAAGAACTCACCGTGATATGCTTGTATCCAATATCCATATGGACGATCTGAATAATATGCGATAGCCAAGGATAGAGAAAGACTCGTAGATATACTAAGCGATAGACAAGCCATTGTGATTATTCCAGCAAAATATCTATACTCAAATTAAACAGATATAGAGGGAAAAAACATTAAATTATGGACCTTTATAACCATTTAACACAGAAAATAAGGTTTAGTTGCATACACAAAAGTAAAACAGATGAATTATTTTCCACGAAAATACTAATTTCAGACTATTCATAGTACACTGAAAATGTGGCATGCATGTATTCAGTAAGTCAGCCATCTAATTCTGAAAAACGTGGGTGGTGAGCAAATACGAGTATCTGAACACATAAGCCGATAGTAGAGACAAAAATTTGGTGTACGTAAAAATTACAAATATATTTCTGGAAAACTAGGAACACCTATGTAAGTCGATCGATAAAAAAATACATACCTTTGGACAGAACAAGAGGTAACTATGTGGATTATTAAAGTAAGACTAATGGTAAAAATCATCCAATTCAGGGAATAATTTGGAATCAATGACTCAAATATATTACAAAATTTATGTAGAAACTTACGTATAATTGCGACTACCTATACAATTATTAAGCCATTTACAATGATGATCAAAATCAGCGATACATTTGTTGCAACTTTTGCAGTGTTTTGTTCGGGAGCTTGAGCTGAATAAAAGGAAATAAGTACTTTTTAAACCAATAGGAATAAAAACTATTTATCACATATGATATAAATAATTCTATCAATATATTTAGATTTAGTTACATCAAACACTTTTTCTAGGTTTTTGGTAACTACTTAGTGTAAAATGAAGAACTTTTGGACAAAAAAGACGGCTAATATGGATGCATATAGTGTTCAACGGTAGTATGTTTTAAATATCATTTGCAGAACTATTTGTGAAAAAATAAGCATGCATGGTTGAAATTACACGCTCAAATGATTTTAATTCATTGTCGGCAACACATAAGATTATGATGAACAACGTTAATTTACTATGTCCAGCAAAAGATTGTTGGGATTCGCACAGACTGGATTTAATCGACACCAACTAGTTTGGTTTTTGCTAACCTTTCTTGACAATGCATTTCACAAGTGCAAGCCAACGTGACTTCCATGACAGTTTATATGGTTAGTGACATCAACACACGAAAAGCCTAGTGCAGTGAGAATTTAACTACTGATTCTTCACTCTCATCCTTTGGATTAGATTCAAAGGATCAAGAGTGATTTATCAAATCGACAATTAACTTCAGGTTTTGCGAATGGATAGCAATGCACACTATACACATTCTAAGATAGTCAAAAATGAAAACACTACTCTATGATAAAAACTAATCATAATGCCACAAATATATTCACAAAAATATCCGTTTCACATCAATTTGATTTTCAGTACTAATTTTCGTTTTATGAGACAACTTATCGCTGTCAAGTCTAAGTCCTACAAGGTAGCTAAAAAACTGATTTGTCGATATTAGTCAGTTCTTAAACATTAGTTGGCAGTAGGTAAGATACTCGGCTCCTCAACTTGTGGAGTTGAGTACTGAAATTACACAGCTACCCCCGCGTCCCCAATACCAATTTAAGGTACTGTATATTACAGAACTGTGAAAGGAAGACAAAACCAACCACCCACGACAGGACCAGTTAAAACAAATTATTCGACTTGGAGTGGTGTCAAGTGAAACTGTCTTGCACTGTAATGAGTCTTAATACAATTACCACTGGATTCGATGGTTCAAATGCAATCGTTAGTTTACGAAGTCATTATTGGGGTCAATATTTTACGGATAATGGGTGAACTAACAGGTTCAATCATCCATTACGAAAAACGAAGGCTTGAACACAAAAAATTAACAAACATAAAAATACCACAGAACAGGAAATACTTACATTGGCAACTCACACAAATTACAATAAAAGTTCTCAATCACATGTACATGTTTAGGATCTAAGGAAGAAACTTTATTTCCACGCAGTTTTTGTTTTTCCCTGACAGCTGTGTCAGCTGGATTAATACTCACCGCAATTATATTAAAAACAATGTAAGCAGCAATACACACGGCATTGATCTAATGCATGAATTAAGGATGGATAGAGTTGACTACAATGACAATCGTGACAAACCTCGCTACTAAAGATAGGGAGAAGTACTAAGATCATAGAAATGACACAAAATGGTCCCTAATTAACTATAATCTCTGGACGTAACATCTATAACCAAAACAACGTTAAAAGTACCATTTGAAAGTGATTTCACTGGCTAAGATATTTTTTCCTGAACATTACTAACACTATTGTATGTAAACATTTATACAGAACAAGAATGTCAGCACGCGACCGAAACCTAATCAATGTAGGCAACTATGGGTTCCTATATTATTGCTCTTTCACGTCTATTGAAATATCCCACTATTGGCATATAGCAGGTACAAGTAAATGACCACAGGCTTTAAAGTTGACCTCATTAAGCTGGGATACTTTAATCTATTGAGTTTAACAACATCTGCCATATTTTTTTATGGGACATAGCGTATGAACAACGAATACTTTAATGACGGAATTGTTATTTGAAGTGACGCCAACCAGTTATTACATACATTTGCAACTATTTTTTGATCTCCCCATGACCATACAAGTAATAACGAGATAGAACAAATGCATTCATAAGAACTAACCAAACACTTCACTTATTTTTCTCCGGTCTTAATGTGCTGGGTGGTTTTTAGTTTAGTTAATCAGCCCAGGACAAAACACTAGGTGAGCTAAGGAAATTTCTTATGTCATATACCACAATATTTGAGGATCGATACTCATCAGTCACAATCGGATATATAAAGGATACAACAAAAAGAGGAATTCTGGCTTGAATGACGATAGATGGAACGAGTATTCCAAAGTAGATTACCGAGAACATAGAAGTAGCGAACCAGGATAGGCATTGTAAAGGATGAATTGGCAACGACCATCCATTGATTCTGCTGGATGATTTTGTGTTTAAACTCATGTAAGATTTAAGTATTTGTGAGCAAGTAGATTTGTCCTAGGATGGAAACAAACCATGTCCATGTCGCTAAAACCGAACCACCAACCATCCAAATGTAATGAGCAACTCAATTGCCGTTGAAGTAAATTTTAAGAAAAGATGAGTTTCAATTCAACTGCAAATGTCCAAAATAATGGTACCGGACCCAACAATTAATCTGAAGTTCCCGCCAACATAATCGTCTTACGCTCTCCGAGGTCAAAAACAATGTCCAATCGTTCCATTTGTCAGTTACGTTAGTAAAAACTACTGCAGACTAAAATATGTTGATATGGGCCAATGATCCATAGAGGCTTTTAGGCATAAATCTCCTTACTAGTGAGTCATGCTGTAAGAACAAATAGAATTTTTTTCCCAAAAACTTCACTGTGCAGAAATATCGAATTTGTGTTTCCCAAGGGATTACACCTACATTTCATGACATGTTTTTTGATCATGCGGGGCATAGTTCTAATCTTAGTTCCCTATGAACTCCAAAAAATGAAACATCAATTTATAATAGTGTTTGATAATAATAGCAACAATGATTTCCCTCAATACCTTTGAAATAAGAGTTGAACTTCATTTCGCAAGAACCCCATCGCCATTCGTTTAGGCACTGAACTCCACAGTTTACAGATCTCAATCTCACGGATGTTCGCACAAATGTTTGTGTGTACTTTCACATGTTTGGTGTAATTCATCACTAGAAAGTAATGTGGATCAGTCTATGAGAAGTGGATTATGAGATCAATACTCCATCCCAATTAAAGTGCTGCCTAATTTCCCTGTCCTTCAAGGTCCAAAACTTTGTTAATTGGGTTAAAGATGTTAGATTTACATCTTAATTTAGGCATCATTTAAATTATCCTTCCCGGAACCCTTTCCTAGATTTCGACATCTTTTCAAAAGCAAGAAGAAAAGGTAGAAGAGATTTCATTATACAAAGCAGTTAAATTTCGCAGGCCGGTATGAAAATCACAGATGCTTCCCAGAGTTGCGAAGAGGAACATAGTTGAAGATGCCACAGGTATTCGGAGTTTGACAACGCTTTAACCAGCAACACTTTCTAATATGAAGCGTACCCACCAAGTGAAATCAAAAGACAGAAGCGAGGAGGTTCGAAGATATATTTGATAGGCTATCAATATATCGAGAATTGTCTGAACTAATCTGGCTAGCAATTGCAGTAGATGTTGAGCACGGCGTTCCCACACGTGATCTGGAGCGGATGCATGACCAAGCGCCTTCAGCTAGATGAGTCCAGTAAAACTAATGTGGTCAGCATCCAATATCGTAAACTTACAGAGCTATTTATTTGGAGGATTTATTTACCGCTACACAGTCAAAGCATGTGCCCTGATAGTTGAGGAATTTCAAACAGAGATTTGTATGTCACATCAAGTAATATGCACACAAGTCCGTCAATAGCCCTTCTACGATTACTAGCGGTCCCGAATGCTGATAAAGTAAGACGGCTAGATATTGTTTTAACAACCAATACCATGGAAAACAACTGAAGATGTCACAAGTACTTGGAGTTCAATAATACCCCAACTGTTGTGACCTTATGAGCCACCTACTATCACGTAATCTATTCGCCAATCAAAATACGACTTATTCGCTCTTATACTGTACTGAACCAATGACGTTCGACTGGTATGATCAGCTTAGTGTCCTATTGGTCCGTTGCTCGCCTAACCCGTCTAGCTGAGTCCAGAATATCGATAACAGCCTCCACTATGCTAATCATTTGTTTCATACATACTGGGTTTATATACCAATAAAACAGACCGCAACGCGCCATTAAATAGAAACTAACACTCGTACAAAATATAGCCATAAGTAGCTGTGAACATGGAAGACAGTAATAAACTGAGTATAACTTAGGAACAGTAAACCATACACTAATAATCTATAGTTCAAAATGAAGCTTATAATAAGGGGAATATAGATATATACAATTTAGTTACTGAATAGTCATACCATAAGAATATATAGATGATATTTGTCCGTTAGTAGGTCTCAGACGTTACTCGTAATTCAATCGTCACTAGGATATAACACCAACCAGTAACGCCTATAATCGAAATGTGTCAGATACCATCAACGAGTAGTCGTAAATGTTGACCATTGGGTGAGGTACCTCAATTGCCAGGCTCATGTCTTTCGAGTGTGCCGAGGGAAAATCGATGTAGATAGGATTTCCTTATAAATACGCTGCTTTAATGCGATCGACGCCGATGCCATTCTTATCGATTGTATAGTACTCAGGCTCACGCTGAAGAACTTCGAAGGGTCCTTCGTATACCGTTTTGAGATGTCGTTGAAGTGAGTCGCGACGTACAAACACGTGTGTACTACATTGTAAGACAGGTTGAACGAAAACACCAGTTGATTGCGGCCAGGTGGAAACAGGCCTAACTGAACGCATGGCGTTTGTAAGTCTGTTCGTGTAAAAGTTTAGATCCATATTTATTAAGGATGATGAAGGATCCGCGAATTCTCCTGGAATTCGAAGTGTTGTTCCATAAACGATCTGAGCTGCAGTGTATCCAATGTTGGCTTTCACCGCATCCCAAATACCAGGTAAGACGAGTGGAAGGGCGTTGGCCCACTGTGAAACATTTGTAGCTGTCGGTGAAAAAGTTCTGCCAACCCGTTTTCGAAACAAGTGAAACACATTGGGTTCAGGCTGGACAGAAAAGATTATATTTGGGAGAGATACGGTTTGCTCTTGTCTTGAAGAGGAAATTCCTTTGCACATACAAGGAGTTGCACTGATTCTGTGCGAAGAAGCACGAAAAGCATTTATGGGACGGGAATCTCATGGATCCAGGATTATCAAGACATCCCTCAAGAAAAGAGAAAATATCACAATGAATGCTATCCAGTAAAGACATCGGCCGAATACACAAAAGCAAACAAGAGAGTGAAGAGGAGCATTAAGACCGATAAGTAGAAATATTTGGAAGATTGAGGAAATAGCTGCAAGACAAAGAAATATGAAACAATCGCATGGCACAAGGAAGAAACTGGCAGGGAAATATAGTGAATCGGGATGGCTATTCAAGGACAAAGAAGGAAAATCAATCAATGAGATTCGGAGGCAGAGAAACAGGCTAATAGAACAGTTTGAAGAACTTATGAAAAGACCATCCGCACTGAACCCACCAAACATCTAAGAGGCAGAGACCTTCCTATGGATGTCACTCAATCAACGGTTGATGAAATCAAGATGGCAACCGCATATATCAAGAATGGGAAGGCAGCAGGACTTGAGAATGTATCAGCTGAATAACTGAAGTCAAACACAAAATAAACTGTAGAGATGCTCTATGCTCTATTTAATAAGATTTGGGAGGAAGAACAAGTGCCACAGACAGGCTGGAAAGAAGGACACCTCAGCAAGATACCGAATAAAGGAGATCTGAGCAAGCGCGAGAACCACACAGGCATCACATAACTATCGGCACCCGGAAAAGTTTTCAATAGAGTGTTTCTGAACCGGATGGGGGATTTAGTATATGCACAGCTTCAAGATGAACAGGCCAGATTCCATGGGAATCGGCCGTGCATAAACCAAATCGCGACAGTACGGTTTATTGTTCAGCAATTACACACCAAAAGCACTTTTGACATTCCTCCATCGTTGAAACATGAAGTCTGATTAAAATGTAAAATATTTTTCTGGGTAATGAGTGTGCCATGAACTTTATTCGCTTCAAATAGTATTTAATGACATCGGAAACATGTGTTCAAAAAGTGTAAGATTTCAGAAAGTAACCAATATCCTTTATAAGATTCAAATGTAACCACTCCGGCCACTTTTTTACCTTTATCTATTCCAAATTAGGTTGTTAGGGTTCTTTTGAATCCAAAGTGACAAATCAGATATACAACCTCTTCATAGGTAAACTCAAAATACAATGGTTGGGCTAAACATGGCCACAATTGTAGGGAGTATAGTGAGCTTATTGAATATTCTTTTATTATTTGTCTACTTGCTGTAATCTAGACATTTGACCCACCATGTGAGATATATCAGTCTGTTTGAACGCATATCTGTACATCAAACCTTATTTATCCTCTCGTCGATTGTGAGCACAGATAATCAATAATTTATCCACAATCGACTAACACCCATATATATAAATTTTTTAACACACACTCTCATATTCTTTTTCCTTTGTGCTTGCTTTTTGCATGCTTGTAGATTTTATCAATAATTAGCAATACACTATCCTTATAACTGGTGTTCTGGTTTCGAATAATCATGAGTAAATTTATAATGCTACTAGGATATTTCGCTCGCGTAAATACCCAGTTAACGGGATATTATATATTAGAGTCAAATTTGGAGTAATTAACCTTCGTAGGGGTATGAATATTATTCATTAAGAATCTCCAAAATAGACAACATCCCTAAACTATACAGGACTAAAAGTACCAAGCGATGTCTTCTTTTGTTACCAGGATTCGAACAATTGCCGTGTATTTGTAGTGTAACGACCGAACTGCCAGTATTCGGTTTGAACGCATCACTGACGAACCAAAATGTATTCGAATACGCTCTTCTCTACAGTTTAACAAGCGTTTTTGAGACACTCGTATTAAATTATATCAAAACACAAACTCTATGCTCAATTTAAATGGTTCTCAAACGACACAGCCTGTGCTATCCAGTCAGAAGTTTCTCTAACGCAAAGTAGCGCGCTGAGAATCAATAAATATATTCCCAACAAAATGGGATCAAATATCTATCTGCAGGGATTCCAGCAATCCTCCCAAGCAGATAGTCAAAAGGTTAACAGTCACACACTGAATCACGCCGTGACCTTGAGCTTAGTCAAACACGACCTTACTGTCAATAGTCCGGCAACATGCAATAGAAAATTAGATAACAAAAGATAAGTCTTTAATCAAAGTCACGTAATAAAAGCTCAGACGAGGAAAACTGAAGAACAAAAGGTGTGGTTAAA